ACACACACACACACACACACACACACACACACACACACACACACACACACACACACACACACACACACACACACACACACACACACACACACACACACACACACACACACACACACACACACACACACACACACATAAACAAAAGCAGGGATGGGTGGCAGTGTATCTGACACTCTGCCCCATGCAGCCCTGTTCTCAAACACATTGTGCCCACTTCCTCAGGAATGACTCAAACATACTTATCAATATATTTTTGTAGCATTGTAGCGTATCTGATTTATTTATTGCATATTTGGATGTTTGCAATTGTTTATAGCCTAAAGACCCCAAAACACACGGAATCTAATTTTTAAGAACCCAGTTTTCATTTTAATTGTAAAGTTTTAGGAAAGTTAAAGATGAATCATTCTGTTGTGTTTTTGTAATTTTTTATTTATGCCTATATTGTTTTTTATTAATTTTATTTAAGATAGTAGTTTAGTTTAACTAAATGAAAAATGAGAAATGTTGAAATAAAGTAAATTTTTATTTCATTAAAGTTCATTTCATAATGTTAATTTTATTTCAAGTAACGTTTTTTTTTAGTTGTCATTAACTACAATAATCTTGATCTGATTAAAATTGTATTTTTGAAAAAAAGTTTCACTCTGAAGGTTCAGATTATATTTCATGTAGATTTACATGATTTATGATGTGATGCAATTGTGACGTCACACATTGCTCTGTGGCATTCGGTTTATTTTGAATGGGAAATGAGCGAACAAGAGAGGAGTTTCAGACACTGCATATTCACTATTGTGTAAATGCAGCAAATACAGTCTGACGCTTATTTCATTTATGTTATGTTGTTTTCAGTCCTCTCTTCATCTTGCATTTCTTGATTTCTTGCCTTTGTGCTGATGCGTAAGTCATTACTATGGCAACAAGGGTAGATACTAAATACTGTACTCTGTCTGAACAAATGATTCAGATTTCATAACTTGCAAAATGACAGTGTAGATAAAAAACTAATGGTCTTACAAAGCTCATGGTGTTTGCAGAGGTACAGATCACCACTAGCAGTGAGTTCTGAGACGGAAATAAAGATGAATGCATGAAAAGGGCAGGATTTACTGGTAGGTATACAGGGACGAATACTAAAATCTCATTGATCCGTGAAGTAGGTAATTGGGTCTCCATAAGCTCCTGCTCCATGTTATACCTCCAATAGGTTTAAGTATATACGCACACATGAGTCTAGGCGCACGTCCTCACACACACATTCCCAGGCACACATGCATGAGCTTTCATCAAAGTCACAGCATTGGTCTGGGTCAGAATGTAAATCTGGAAAGAGTGCTGAAGTTTCTAATCACTTTGTTTACTCACTGCGATTGGGCTGTTTGTCTCTCTCCAGCAGCATTCGATTGCACTCTGAAAACAAATGCATGTTTCTGATGAGCTGCACAGATTTCACACTTGGAACAACCCCATTTCTCTTCCAGTGCGTTTGTGTGCTCGTGGGGCTGTTTTGTGCACAAATCCAAAGGCCAGATTTGTTTATCAAGTTAATTATGTTATAGCGTGGATCTCAAAAGGTTCTGTTGACGTTCTTCTCCATATCGTGGAATAAATCTGGTTCAAATCAAAATGTCCAGTATTCCCTCAAAACTGCCATGGTATGCTCATTGGAAACTTGGCACCGTGGTCACTCTGTTCTGTCACTGGGATTTTCAGAACAAGTTTTCAGTGAAGCAGTCTAGTTCAGACTCTTCAGAGTTTTGATGATGATGTTGTGTCTTCATTTCATGACAGAACAGGGACTGAACATAAGTCTGACTCGGATTCAAAGACATATATGTATGACCAAGATAAAGAAAAGGATAACTCTTTCAAAAAATCTAGTTTAAAGGGGTCATATGATGCGATTTCAATTTTTCCTTTCTCTTTGGAGTGCTACAAGCTCTTGGTGCATAAAGAAGATCTGTAAAGTTGCAAAGACTAAAGTCTTAAATACAAAGAGATATTGTTTATAAAAGTTAAGAGTCAACCACGCCTACCTAAAACGGCTCGTTCTAACACGCCCCCACATACCTACGTCACAATGTGGGAAGATTTGCATAACGCCGCCCAAATGTTCACGCAAAGAAAGAAGGCGTAACTTTGATTCTCGCTGTAGTATTGTTGCCGCCACCGCCATGTTGTGAAGACGCTGTGTGTTTCGTTATGAAAGCGAAACTACTTTGTCTGGTCTTCCAAAAGAGGACACAACTAGAAATCAGTGGTTAAGTTGTATTTACAACACTGTTCCAAAACAGTTCAACCTAAATATTCAGATGTGTGCAGCGCATTTTATGGAGGAAGAGGACTGTTTCCTCGGAGAGTATAGCCTACAATGCCGGTGTCTGTTTCTCTAAAGTGGGGCAATTCCAACTTTGCAAGGACAGTCTGGCGATTCATGACTCACAGCCTTCAGCCTTTATACTCCAAAATTTATTTCAAAAATTATAAACGTGCTTATCTTACAAGAGGTGTATTCAAGTCATTTTTCTCTAATTTTTCATATAGGAATTGGTGAAATATACTAGTGACAACAAAGAAAAGAGCAACCTACGATTAGCCCTTGATGCCATGAGAGTAAGTATAAATTTCTTATGGAATCTACAGCAAAATCTTTCAGGAAGTATAGATTTATTGATTTTAAGACATTATGAAATGCTTAAAGATCCCCTGAAATGCTTAGAAACAGCAGCGTTACTCTATGTGTTGACGTCATTTTAACTGAAATAGGAAGACAGGGCGGGACATATCAAGCAGCCCCGCCCCTTTTTAAAATAGCCAATAGCGTTCGTTTATATCACAGCTTGGACTAGAGCCGTTCAGAGCCGTTGAGCTCCGTAAAGCCACATTTGACAGGGTATGCCAGCCACAATATTTTATAGCATTTTTTATTGCTATAAAATATAGCATTCTGTGTAGAATTCAAATAGCTCCGATACATTTTGTGGTCTGTGATCCGCTCCGTGCTATCGTGTCTCTGCGGTGCGGTGGTTAGTGTGACACAGCGCGAAACCAGACTTCTTTTTTTCCTCAATGGAAAGCATATTTACACTGTTTGAATCGTTCCCTGTCCACTATATAGTGCACTACGTGCCATTCACTGTACAGAAAATACTAATTCTGTGGACAAGTGACCGATTTCAGCTGCGGCTTCAGCATCTATTTTATAGTGTAAGGGGCGGGCGCTTCAGATTCTAGAGAGCATTTGATTGGACAGAAAGTTTGATGAGAAGCTGAAGTACGATGTGACGTCAAAAAAATCGTTGAGCCATTTCGGCGGAAGTGACGAACTGCAAGCTTTGAATGCTTATATCTTCTAAATGCAAATTTTGTCACTGTTTTGGAGCACACTGCCACAGATAACCTTAAGACTAACATATTGATACTAACACCCAAAAAAACTTTAATTTTGATTTCATGGGGACTTTAAAGAACACATAAAATGTTTTTGCAAGTGCAGTTTTATTCCCTGTTTGATGTATTTCCTCCTGAACCTGAATGTTTGGCAATCATGAACCACGAATGGCTACTAGGAAGTACTGTGCAGTTTCGTCAATGTAAGGTTGATGGCCTCAACCCTAACACACATAGACTAAAAGCCACAAAACTCTCATCTTAAGATGTCACGCTCATTACCAGCCTTGATTTCTCTTTAGCATGTGACATCAGCATAAGATCATCCCTGTGTACACTTGGTAATGTTTTCTTTAATATCGATGAGATTATGGGGTTCTAGTATGTGAAGTGATGTCAACGGCTCATTTCAGTCTCACTGGCAGAGTAGGAGGAAAGCAGATTAATGGCTATGTGAGACGCCGTAATGGAACAGAGGCCTGCGATGATTTAATTTGTTTGAATTATCATCTCAGTGTTGATTGGTTTAGCCGGATGAGAGCTGTGAGAGTTGCTCAGACAGAGACTGAACTCATCTACCTGACTGCCTGTAAAATGGTGTGCTTAATTTAGACTCATAAGTGAGTGTCTGAGCAGAGGCTGCCTTTTAAAATGGAAATCAGCCGAGATCCACGTCATCCCAGTGGGGTCCTTTGAAAGGCCTCTTTAAGTATTTGGAGATGTTTGTACTCGCTGATGAAATGAAATAATACATGTGGAGATGTATATTTTTCATTCCAAACATGATGTTTTTCATTCAATTCTTTTATTACTAATCATACTCCATTATCAGGACAATTTGAGAACAGATTTTCATGAAAAGAACATGATTTTCATAATGTCTTTTAGTATTTGGGTTCTCTCTCTTTTGCTTTAATGATATTAAAAGCCCTGAAAACTGTTGGCCATTGACAAATCAGTGCCATTGTGCCCTGAAAACTGATGATCATGCTTTAAAAAAAAAAAATAATAAAAATTTTTTTTATTTCATACCCTAAAAAACCCTATACCACAGTTTATTTAAAATTCATTTATTTCAAGCACAAACTTAGTTGTTCCAATTTAGCAGACTTTAAGTATAACCGTTTATTATACCAAACGTACAATTGCAGGGTATTTTTATTAAGCACATACAAATGTAAATATATTTGTAGTATACTTAGCACAAAATAAATGTACTTCAAATACATTTTAATGTGTATATATATATATACATTATATATATATATATATATAATGGCTGCTGAAAATGTATTTTCCTGTTGATTTCCCCCCCATAAATTAGTATATATATGATATGTTCATTAATCTTGGTGCATTAATCTTCCTTCATTAAACAGGACTTAGCCCAGTATGTAAATGAGGTGAAAAGAGACGTTGAAACTCTGAGAGAGATTGATCAGTATCAGAGATCCATTGACAATTTGGTAAGTAGTACATAATAAACATGACCTCTGCTTTTAAAAGCACAGTTTACTCATGTCATCATCGTTTTCCTGTCTGTTCATGAATGTCCCTTCACAGAACCAGTGCTTACTTTCTTATGGAAGACCAAAGGGTGACGGTGAAGTCCGTTTGGTGTCAAATGTGGACAAGCGCAGGCAGGACAGGTGAGACTTAAGGCAAAAACCTTTACAGCAATCCACTCTTGTTTTTACTTTCATGCCATGTCATGACGCGTCGATGTTGCAGACATATTTTTTTGTTCGATGTTGCTGTAATCATCTGCAAGAGGCGCGGGGACAACTATGAGATGAAGGAAGTAATCGACCTCAACCATTTCAAGATCACCAATAACCCCACTACTGATAAGGACTGCAGAAAGGTCAGTGAGAAACTATGAAGGTAAAATGACGTCAAAAAGATTTGCATACGCAGGGTAAGAGTTGTGGAATTTAATTTACGCTTACAGTCTTATGTACACTTCCACAAATATCACCCTGCGTATGCAAATCTTTTTGACGTCATTCTACCTTCATAGAAACACAGTAACAGGAATGATTGCAGGCTCAGAAAACTGCACCCAAACATCGAACAGTCATATTTTTCTCATGATCCCTGCATCTGCTATTCATCATATTGTTCCATTCTGATGGGTTTTATAGAGGTCGGACTAGCACAATTCAAGTGTACTGTAGAATAGAAATCACTCCAGCACTTACCTTCTCCACAGATGGCTCCAGTAACTCTCCTTTAGATCTCCTTTGAACTGTTAGAGTGTCATAGAATAAAGTCTTTCCTGATTTTTTTATCTGAAAAAATGTTTTTGTCCTCTAGGATACTGCAGGATATTCCAGTGATATCCAAATCATTTTAAGGACAGTGTGACTTACCAAAGTGCAATGTTATGCAAATTAGTTGTGCTGTTGTAAGCTCTTTGAAAGTGCTTAAGTCAGTAAATGTTCACATGCAGAACACAGGAAAACTTGAGGTCTTTATCATTTCTGATCAAATACACACTGTAACAATGTTCTTAGATCGAGTAAAAAATGTATTCTCATTATGCATTATACTCTATACAATGCACTTTTTTAAGCCAACAAGTATAGCAGTTGAGTTGGATTAATGCATTTCTTAGTCCACATATAGGCTTACATTAAAAAATATTTAGTGAGTGTTTGTTGTCTCCTGAGTATTCATGCGTTGATCTTTTTGTTATCTTTGCTCTCCAAGTACATTTCTTACAGATAACCGAGATGAAGAACACAATACTGAACTATTTAAAACAATGTAACTATTTAGGTTATTATTCCAATAAATCTTATATTAATATTACTTAAAATATATATTTTTAAAAATTGCTGTCAGTGTATCAATTTCAAGTATTTTTAATATTTTTCTCATGCATATTTGTAATATATTTAAAATATAATAAATAATAATGTAATACAATAAATAATATACTATATATATAATATTTGAATTTTGAATTGCATGTACATGCATACATATGCACACACACACACACACACACACACACATATATATAGTATATGTATAGAAAACAATATAGGGACACC